AAGAAGAAGAAGAACAAGAAGAAGAAGAACAAGAAGAAGAAGAAGAAGAAGAAGAAGAAGAAGAAGAAGAAGAAGAAGAAGAAGAAGAACAAGAACAAGAACAAGAAGAAGAAGAAGAAGAAGAAGAAGAACAAGAACAAGAACAAGAACAAGAACAAGAACAAGAACAAGAACAACACAGCCTCAACAACAATAACAACAATAACAACGACAGTAACCATAACAACAACAGCAACAACAACAACCACAAACAATAATAAATGTAAAAGGAGAAATTAAACTAAAAAGCAAAGAAAAATACGTCATCATCATCATCATCATCATCATCATCATCATCATCATCATCATCATCATCATCATCATCATCATCATCATCAATTCGAATGGAGATATTTGGACGAGTGGTTGAGCCTTTAAGTATATCGACAATGGAGCCGAAAAAGAGCCTCGCTCTCGCTCGAAGATTTCTTCGTGGAGTCCACCAGGCCCATAAAGGAAACAAACCACAAAAAATCATCATCATCATCAATATCATCATCACCATCATTATCGTCATTGTTGTAACCACGAAGAAAAAAACAGGCCAAAATTAAAAAAAAAAAAAATAGGTGCAGACTAGAATTTCAATATTTATAGCAGTATAAAAGTTCAACGTTTCACCTGTGGGCTTTGTCAGGTGCATGTGATAAATTCATCATGATCATCATCGTTATCATTACCATTTGGTCTACTTAGAAAGGGTCACTTTTAGTGCTACAGAGGGGATTGTCTCGTGAACAAAAGAGGAACAAACAGAGAAAAAGCAACAAGAAGAGAATGACACTTACAGCTGCAATACCCACCCTTTACCCCCGCCCTCCCCCAGCCATCCATTGCCCAACCCATTCTCCCCAAAATGTAAAAAAAAAAAACCCCCCCCCCCCATTCACAAATTATGCACAGGAAAGAAGTGATATTATGAAAAAGTGGGGATAATTCAAGCGGGCATCGATGCTTTGCATCGCTCCCCCTCCATCGCACCCCCGTCCCTCGTCTCCCCTCTAGAGCTGCATATCATTTATTACGTCTTCAAGTTTTTTCTAACCCCCCCCCCCCCTTTAAAGTAAACGTTTTACAGTGCTTGCAACAGAAATAGTTCTTATAAGTGCCGAAAAATAGAAGTGCTGGTCGTGTGTAAAATATACCGAAAATAAGGAGAAGATATAAGGGTGATAGATATTTGATAGGAAAGAAGGCGCAAACTATTCCACAGCACCCGCCAACCATCCACCTCCGAAGTTTGGATATTTATTGTTCCTATGTGTCGACCTGCAGAACCACTGACACATGATCTCATCACCCTATAAGGACGCTGGTGCATCCGGTGTTTCTAAAACCGGTAACACAATAATAAATGACCAAGGCCGGCTTTGTGTACAATACATTGAAGGTCATCGTCATAGAAAGGAACAGACTTGAGAAATAAGGAAAGTGCGCAAATTCCTTCGAGGTGTCCATAATTGCCATCTAAAGCTTTCTCTGAAACGGCAAGAAAGTGCGCTCATATGACCCTATGTAGTTGAGAGCATCGTAAAACACTTAACCCCCCCCCCCCAAAAAAAAGAAGAAAAAAAGGGAGAGTACACAGCGTGGGCGACACAGCGAAATCGTTCTGGCTATCACGCTTTCCACATGGTTGTCCTTTATTAACGAAACGTTTTTTGGCACGATTTTATATCATGGAGAAGTTGGACTATTAATATCAACTATGCCTGACAGGCCAGCCCAGGCTGATGAGATAATCTACCGTGTCTCAGAAGAAAGACAGAAGTGTTTGATGAAATAGTTTCAGAAATAAGACTTCTCCTAAGGTAGATCGAAATCGCGTCTTAATAGTGTATTGTTGAAGACCCTAACCGTCACGCACAGACACTGGCCACGTAGGCGACATGGAGTTTGATTTAAAGGTTGAAGCTTCATACCCTCATAGAAACAATAAATCAGAGGCGGGATGCTTTGACCTTTCCTGCCACGCCTGGTCTGCTCAATTATAAGACATTGAACCCCTGTACACACGATACATGGTACTATGCTCGATTTGAATGTCAACTTCCCCATTCGGGAAACGAACCTACATCTTGAGCATGATACAACCTCACAGACTCAGGTTAATCCATATAATCAAATAAAAAAACAAAACAAAAACAACAGCCCCTCCCCCAGGAAATAAAACAAAACAAAAACAACCCCTCAAAATAACAACAACAAAACAACAATCCCAAAACAAAGCAAAACAAAACAAAACCAAGTAAAACAAAACAAAAATATCACCCGCTCCGATCTCCACCCCCCCAATACCACCCCCAACCAACCAACCAACCCTGTTATGGAGACATAAATCATCTTCTTTTATACCGCATATCTTTTCCCGACTTCTCTGGACAAAAAAGGGTAGTGGATGCAGTCCGCTGTTCCTGATGGCTGATATGTCAGACAGTTCAGGCCCTTGATTAGATAACAGTCACGTCGTCGTTGTCACAGGGCGCTATGCTGTGCTGACGAGCGTCGCATCAGGATCACTCGTATCAATCGAGCCCGTGTGGATCACCGAGGCCTGATCTGTCGTCCAGCCTGGCGGTATTACAAGATTTTCACCGAGTGCTTCTTTTCAATTTGGGATGTTATATTTAAAACAGACATATAAACAAAATATTCCAAACTTTTCAACAATTTTTTTATCTGAACTGTAGATACCTTTTTTCAGTTCGTGAGAATCGTGTAGCAGATAATCGTTACCTTTGGTGCAAGTTAATTTGTTTTATACCTTGTGCGCAAAAAGCTGTGAATAAAATAAAGAAACAGATAAATAAACTGAAATCATTCTAGCAGGCAAACATTTGGATACAAATAGACTTCTTTTGGTGGGACTTCGAAGAGTAGCAAGTTACGCCCGCAAACATACGAACATCAAATCTAGAGAGGCAGTTATGTAACAGGGCTGAGTAGCGGTGTAATGGCGTAGACACCACATTTAGAAGTACAAAGACAGAAATATCAAACCAAAGCCAAACCAAGCAAAATAAGGACCTCGCCCTCCCAAGCCAACGTTAGAGAAATAGTCTAGTGACATTCGTGTAAAGGGGGAGGAAAACGAAAGGCCACGCGCGACAGTAAGTCATGTTAAGTTTACCGAAGAAAGGAACTTAAAGGTCTTGCTGATAAAAAAAAGGGATAAATCGCAGCCCTCGGGTGTTAAATCCCGAAGAAAAAAAATCAAATTAAATGTCAACGTAAAAGAACACATAAAGTTCAACAAAGATATAACCAAACAGTCTGATAACACGAAAGGAACGTTCTTGGAATTGTGGATGTTATGTACAATAACAAACGATGCTTGATCTGTTGTGTAAAACATACCCCCACACTCTGTCAATGATCGTTGGAGATATACAACATCTGATCCTATCAACATTTGGCGACTCTGCACTCTTCCAGGGCTCAGTCACGTGACAGTTCATAGGGACAAGAAACATTACATTTCTTTAGATCGTAAATAGCACACCAAAAACACTGCTTGAAATACTCGAGCTGAACAATCGGTCATTGTCCTATCAGTTAGTTTTTGTTCAACAACATCTGATTGGACTTTTCAAGAGTTTGTCTATGAGAACGTAGTCTTCACCTACCCTGGTTGACGAGATAAACCAATCTTATTGCACGTCAGAAGACAACGCCCACAACAACGTTTCTTCACCCTGAAACTAACAAATACACCGGTTTTTAATGCTGGAATGTGAAGTAGCAGGTAGGGAAAAGCTACAACGATGGACACAATGAAGATCAGTCTATCGTTGCTCGGAGTGAGCTTCATCTTCAGTGTTATGTTTCTACCCAAGGATATCGTCTCCGGGGCTCCGGACACACCCGCTGGGAGCGGTGACTTCATGCATGAGAAAAGCTCGTCGGATTTGGAAACTGAAAACCTGGAAGTACAAGGTATGGGATAATTTTATGAGTGTGCCCTTAAGATAACACAACTAAATAGAATGGAATACCATATTTTTTAGGGGGGGGGGTGTTTGGGTAACAACAGCAATTGCAAAGCATACATGAAATGGTTCAAAAGTTTCATCAACGTCACCTATGGAACAATATGGCGCGAATGAAGGCAATTTTGCTTAGACAATATCACCGGTCGCAAAGTAAAAAAAAAGTGTAAAATCTTGTTTTGATTCTAAGTATAATATGTTAAGAGACGCCCGAGACATGGTTAATCAAAATTGACCTAAAAAAACAGACTTGGCAAAATTGTGCGAAATCAAAGGAACGTAAAATTATCTTCGTGCGTGTATTAAGTAGCATCAATATTGATTGAATGGA